GAAACCAAAGCCCTGGAGTGCTGAACCACATAAGGCTCTGCCAAGTCAGGCGTGATATTGAACCGGGTAACAGTAAAGCTGTCTCTGTGAGAGTTTACAGACAAACAATTTCAGTCGCATTCGCAGTGAGTCAGGCAGTATGACAATGCGCTTTACATGTTGAAAGCGCATTGGCTCGGATAGAGGCAAGGTTTCCATTTATATTTTAACTTGTGGAATAACTAGCGTGCGAAAATGCGCAAGCTACTTTTATCTGAGTTCTAGGTGAGTGAATAAAACAATAAAAGCGGGGTGCATACGGTGATACTTTAAGGTGATAATAAATGAAGTTAAATGAGTCCAGCTCAAATTTTCAACCTCTTGAGTTGTTGGAAATCATCGACGTGAATCGATAGCTATTAGTTACCTAAAATCAAACAGGATCGCTTAATACAGAAATGAGATCTATTCGACGCAGCTTGTACCGCTGAAGTTACCAGAACAGCACTCGCTACGACAAGCACTTAACCAACGTTGCTGGAAAAGGATGAGCCAAAGGAGCAACCGCCGGTCAGTGAACTGTATTCAAAAAAGCCTAGAAAGGTGAGGGTAAAAACAATGGTATAAGCAAGAATTTCATTTTTCACGATGACGTATCTCAACCTGAAAGAGTCGGATTTTAGACCGTTTAGGTATGCAATCACCGGTTTTTTCTCAGGTTAAAGTTACTCTCTGGAAAACCTTGCACAGTATGGAAGTTTACACAGAGCAACCATCGAAATGAGTCGGGGTCTCTAATGGATCAAAAATCAGTTGAGACATGCATTGATCTCGCATAACAGTGCTCACAATTAGATTACCGTTGCAAGAAGTGAATGTGAAAAAAAGAATTTCAACAGAATGTTATCAAAAAGACGTGGTATGCGGAAAGGTGCTGAGACGTCAACACTCACGATCACTTAGTGTTTGCAGTCATAGGCATTGTACAGGTTCTGTGGATCTTAACAAGGAAGACTGAATAGACCATTCAGAATGGAGTCACGGATAAACGCTTTCGGGTGATAATAATAAGAGGCCGCCGAAAATGTCTATTTGAGAATATGCCAGAGAATGCGTTTATTTAAATGAAGCGTTTATTCCAAATTGACGAACTTAGAAAGGATTATTTTATTGACAACGTAGCGCAAATTCTTCTGCGAAATCAAAATGAGTTACTTGAGTGGCGAAATTTAGCCGTCCGTATTATTTTCTCTAACAAATAGTACTACGTTTAAAAGAAGCGTCGCACCGACCATAAAGATGTTCTACACGAATTTCGTTTAGCGTACAGTGGTTTAATCAGAAAGGGTAGCCCCCCGTGTAGTAAAAGGTGAGGTGTGAGGAAACATTCAGGCGAAAACCAATTTGGTGATACTGATTTTGAACAGAAAAATAATAAGTGGTTGAAAATACAGAAATGAAAAGTGTTCTGAAATTTCACTATCCTGAAAAAAGAGGTCCGATATCTGGATGCAGAAACTTGATAAGGGGTCTACCCGCTTGAGAACGGGATGCAAGAAAAAAGAACTATGAGAGGGAAATCACTGAAATGAAGACGGAGGAACGGAAAAAATGGTCACTGTAGAAAATAGATGACAATCAACAGCCCGCCAAAAGGAAACATACTTTAGATTCGAAGTAAAAGACAGTTAATTGATCAGCCGGATAGTCTGACGTTGAACACAGCAGAGAGAAGAAGCAGCGGAATATGAAGCACCACTATTGGGTAAAAAGATTAATCTTACCTAAAACTATCCATTTTCCAAGAATTTCTATCTTTTTAGATAATTTCAATCTTTTTGGCGCAATTTCGGTCTTCATTCTTCCCCTCCAGCCGTCGATTCGTCGGAGACCGGAACATGATATAAGCAGACGATATAACATCGTAAATTTGGGTGTGTCAATTACACGTTCGCTTGTGTTCTTGCTTACGTAAATGGGAGAAGGCTACCAGTGGCCATACTTGTGGAGTTAGGCGACTTGTGTGGCGCTGAGGTACGTGTTCCGTAGTGTTCGGATCTACCTCGTATCTCCGTGTGGGTTCGCGTTCTGTGATATCGTCCATGCGTCCGATTTGTGTTTCTCGTCCGTCATCAGTAGTGAATGCTACTACCAGTGTGTTGCACTGTGTCGACTTATGTTTTCGACACCCTGTGTCCCACGCCATTTCTGTTTTATTGTGTCAGTGTTACCTCTGTTGTGTCATCGTCAACGACATAATATCCTCCTCATGCGTGACTGCAATATTCGAGGACTGAGTAGATTTCAGATTCGTATAAAAGGCGGATGGGTGCAAAGAAGCATTTAGTTGGGAATGGGAAACGAACTTCGCGCGCAGCGCGAGAGGAGAGTGCGGAAATAAAAGGGGACCAACAGAGAGACGAATATATGGATAAAACTAGAAGGGAGAAAGAACTTGTGGAACGAAAAGGAAGCCAGCAAAACATCAATTGACGAGGAAAATAGACACGATTAAGAGGAATTGAAACGAGAGAAGTTTTGGAAACATTGAAACACACATGATTAGTAGAACCCTATGCGGAGATGAGTACAAGATAGGAGATGCGCTAGTGACTGATGTTAGTAGTGGAATGGCGGATCGTGGGTTAAGAGAGACCTACGGACTGTGGCATCATTAGCGAAGTAGTGTATGGAACACCGGTGATTACAGGGAATGGTCAAGATAGGACCATACCGACTCGGACTTAGATCGTGCACTGGAAAAGGAAATATTGCAGCCACGAAATGGAAGACAGGTGGAGTCTGTAATTGGGTAATTTCGACAGCAGACTTAATTGCCAGACGCGAACGGAAGCTTTAGTTAGAACTGTTGAGCAAGATGAAAAGAATTTCTCTGTGGCTGTTGAGTGCGGTTTACCAGTAATGCAATATGGGAGGCAGTAGGTCGTCAGTGGAATGATGACGGGGAAACAAACGTTGACGGTAACTTGGAAAACCTTCGCGTTCGAGAAATCCACGCAGCTGGTCAGAGATAAGGGTTTCAAAAACTTTTTAAAGTACGGCGGTGTGCGTGGTGAAACGATAGTTATTGGGATCCGAAAGGTTGTTATTCTTTTGGATACGAAAAACCTGACGTTTATCCATGGAGTGGGGAAAGATCTGAGATCAAGTGAACAAAAGGTGGCGTAGAGTAGGAGCTACATTCAGGGTACATTTTTAGGACGATGGGTGGAGTACCGTCCGGACCAGATGATTTACAAACATCCTAACCACGAAGAGTTTGTGGATCCTCATGGGGG